TTAAGTGACAACAAAATATCTCCCTCTGTTTGTTTTGAGACTGGTTGGCAAAACATCTATTTTTATGTGTTCTTTGAGGGTGGGTTGAGGTTTCATCAGTTGGGTTAATCTTACATTTGTAAGTCTCTATAGCAAGCTAAATGTATTAATTATTATTTTCCAATGGTAGCTATAATTAACAAAATTTCGCACTAAAATTTATGCATTTATAAATGCAGTTTTGCAAATTTTGGTTCTTTGCATTCACAAATGCAGTTAAGTAAACTAAGAACAGTAATTTAAGGAAGGGAGCGGTACGCTTCGCGTTATTCATATCTAAACTGAGACTTATGAAATACAATTTTGGTTATAATAAGCAAAGCTAGCCTGCGTCGCCCTCGCTGCCACGGAGTTGCCGCCACTGTCGCAGAGTCGCCGTCGCTGCGCTCAAAAGTGCAGCGTTGGCGCCTAGTGTGTGGTGTCGGATGACCATTGCGGCCGGCAACATATTTGCGACATATCTGCCGCGATCACGACTCTGGTCATTGGCTTCCCCAGAGTGCTGGATCAGCAAATACCAAAAGTCGGTGGTTAACTTTTATACATACGAGCAAATAAGAGTAACAAAAAAATCGACATTTAATTATATCCCTATAAGAGGCTACTTCTGCTCAACCAATAATAAAACAGAGGCATTTGAAAGCCTTAAAGCAAAATTAGAATTTGTGCAGTGCGATTGAGAGGTTTGCTTCCATTAATCATTGACTCGTCGCAGGTAGCTTGCATTTTGAAATCTGGGAAAACAGTCAGTAGATCGCGCAACAAAACAATAATGTTGGACCGTAGGTCGGTGGCGATTACTTTGTCCATCAGACGAACTAAACATTGTGCTTTATTTTATAGCCCAATTGGCCTTACTTGAAACTGACACAAGAGCCTGACTGGTACGGTATATACGGCATAGGGCTTGCTTTTGCGTCTTATTCGTTTTGTCAATTCACAAACTTCAGATCTATGCTGAAAATGTTTTATCCTATACAGGGTAGCGGATACGCGTCTTTCACAGTCAAATTGTTGAGATTGCGTGCACTACTTCGCTTTCCTTGGAGTGTTGCACTCTTCTATTACCCCCAAGCTCAACTGTTCATCAATAACTATTTTCTGCATCGCTGGCGATAACGGTTTAGGTCATTCTTTGCATAGCTTGCACATACTACTAAGTCGATAGTGCGCTTCTCTTAGCCCGTCGTCCATCCGGCCGCTATGTTCAAAAGACAAAAACTTCCGCGTAACCGCTTCCAAATCTATTCTTTATTGTCAAGACAGCTTCCATGAATTCGGCCCGATTTCCAATTATTTTACTTCTTCCCCGTAGTGCGTCATCGGCCAAAAGCTCATCAACCTGGCGATCCGCGGGGATGGGCTTGGGACCCAAAATATCTGGGGCTAGGTTAAATGCTTGCCAGAAATACATCCCCAAGTTGGCTCGCTGTTCCATGTAAGGGCAGATAAGAAACGTTATAATTTTATACCGTTTTTCTATTCAAGATATCCGCGAATTCTACCCGGACCTAGAGTGCAACACAGAATGACCTTATGATCCCTAATTGATTTTATAACCACTAAGATTAAGAAAACAAACGTTCGTTTGACTGGACAAAGCCATAAAAAACGAACATTCTTATTTCCATTGCTACAGTAATTTACTGACCTAACTCTAATATTTATCACAATATTTTTTATTTTCGTACCTATTACTATTTATCATAAAACAATGTACATGTTGGCGAATCGCTTACTACAAAAAAAGGAGAGCGATGACTCAGCTTGCCCCAGTAAGACATGTCCGCTACCGGAAGAACAAAAATAAAATTCCTGGAATTCTTAAACTATTCTCTTATGAGTCAGCTGATCGTTAGAATGCCAGTTCTGTCAATCTCAGCCCGCACAGTTAACGTGAGACTAGTCTATTGTCATGGGCAATCGAATAGTCCAAATGGCAGACAAATAATTGCTAGATTCAATTGTACGGGCTTGATTTATGAATTTTTACAATTTTGCCGTGAAACAGTCTTAGCTGACCTCATGCAAACCCATGACCTCATCCGCAAACAGCGGGCTCATTGGTTCTACAAGGGTAGTCCCATCCCTGACCCGCAGACCGCACAATCAATATGAACGAGCTACCTTTGAACATCTGTGACTTATGACTTATGCAACACTATAGAAAACAAACTGCAGAATTTAAAAACATCAACCAGCTGAAACTACAAATAAATGAACAACATAAGCAGCTAGAATAACAAATAAATGAAAACAACAAAGGTTAGACTATAATATAAAATAACAAAAGATATCATTAATCCAATTGATTCTTCCAGATTGGGTCCCGATTCAGGAGCAGGCGTACCAGCCCTGCCTATCACCTTACCTCGTATCCCTCATATTGACAACTTGTTGGCCCACATCAGCCTGTGTCGACAGTCATGCCCTTCTCTCCCTGCCAACAGACAATAAACCAGCCATGAATTTTTCTCTACAGTAATAATATTTCTTATTTATTGTTACAGAACATTACATAAATTAAATCTAATGAGTTAGCTTATGTATTGGAGGCAAGGAAAAGCTGGCCCCTGCCTTAAGCCTGGGGTGGAAATTACGCCACCATCCCGTTTTTTTGAATCTCGTCGGCTCACCGCTGTTCCTCTCTCTTTTTTGGATGACTTGCGTGCGCCCTCAGTCCCAGAAATGTTGTCGGTCGGACGAGGGTCCACAACGTGATCTCCGATCCGTACTACTTTGGACATGATCGGCTATGGTTTTTTTCTGTACACGCATACATTCAAAAGTGGTCACAGTCGCTCTTCTGCGTTTCCCCACTCAGTGCACTGGATTGCAAGACGGGTTTGCCAACCTCTAGCTATTTGCGTGCCACTCTATGCTCAACCTCACTCACGATACCCTGACCACACAACAAAAACGATATAGACTCGGCCGATTATATTCAATGCATCAAACTAAATTGTATTCAACATCAAAAACATTATCAGCGTAAATCATTTACTGAGATGGAGAGAAAGGTTAGAAAAAATCAAAAAATGTAGCACCCATTATTAAACAAAAGCCACTCATTTATAATAAATAAATTACAAAATTGAAGTACCCAAAGCTGTGTTGTTATCTGATGGAAACAAAGTTAATATTTTTTGCCAAAATACTAAGTAACGGAAACTAAATATCGGGGCAGTGATGGTATCGGGCTACAAAGTTGAAACAGTTGTTTTTATAGATGGACGTGTTTTTATATATAGACATGCATTTATTTCCTTCCTATCTTAAATGGAAACTGCTGTCATTTACACGTACTTCAGCAAGGCATTTAACTCTGTGCACCATGATGCTTTACTCCTTTAACTTGACCATTTATGTTCCCCTCCGTCTCTTTTGTTTTGGATTGGTTCTTATTCGAAAGGTGTTCCTCAGGTCTTCTTGGACCTTTATTCTGAACTCTATTTACAAACAATCTCCACTCTCTTATAACCCATGCCCGGGTACTCATGCATGGTGGAGATGTGTACATCTTTCCTGTCTGCAAGACGATTTGAACGCTATGCAAACTTTGGTTTTCTACCCATTAATTGCATTCAAAGTGTATGTTTATTACCTTCAATTGTACCACACCTTCCAACATAAGTTGATTATTGGCGACAAGGATTCTTCTTTTCTGGTAGGGCGGCTTTAATCCTCTGTTCCGTCCAGACCTACCAGGAATTATCGCCCCTTATTGCTAGCAAACTGCACAACAGATTACACTTTCCACAATTCTGTTCGTGTACCAAGTGAAAATTACGATAGTTTGTATTACGTTTTCTTTGCCTAACAGTCATTTGGAGACTCACTGACCATTCCTAGCTTTGAGTAGCGGGCATAGCTTGCCTGCCGTACAGGCTATAAAGATCGCCCACCGGCTCGATGATGATGATGAAACCATCGCTATTTCTTTATCTTATCTACTTAACAATCTAAATATCTAGTTTAAATATTCTTACTTAATATTTGTTTGCTTTCTGGTTTTTTAATTATTTTATATTCTAAAATAATATAGTAAATTAAGAATATTATTATTATATACTTAAGTTTACTAATTCGTCTACACCCAAATTAAGGATTTTAGTAGGTAATTTTCATAAATTTATGTATTTTTCGGAGCATTGCTATTGTTATTGTTATTGTTATTCGAATTTAAGTAGAGCAATATGAATATTGTATGAGTCGAAATTAAAAGAAAGAAGAATAGAGAAAACAGAGTAACTGTCATTGACGACTTGTATGTCTTATATCACTGAGAGTCGGTGTTAACTGTTAACTCTCTCACTGAGTGAGACCCGTGCATAGAGTTGTTGGTGTGCGTGCAGTTCTTTGTCAGCTAATTCGTGTAAGGACACAAAGAAGCAAAAGCGGTTACCGCTGGTTTTCGTTATTATTCGTTGCGTTGCGAGGCAAAGGATTGATGTGGACAGACAGAAGTAAAAGGTCTGAGCGAACGGACGTGATTGCGCACTGCGAAATTAAGAAAAGAGAAACAAATGCCACCAACAAAGATGCCGGGACTCGCTGATCAAAGTGTGAAGAATTCTGACCCTACGGCCGCTTTGACATATTAAATGATTAGGAAGACGCTCGGTGCTGTTGACCATATAAAAAAAATAGAAACGATTTAATATAAGTGTGTTATGTTATACCATATTATTAATTTAAATGTGAAACTTTAGGGGAAATTCTCGAAACTCACATAGTTATTTACTATACCCATTTCATCAAATGAATTAAGTTTTTGGTTGCCTAAGTTTCCATTAGGTTTAATTACATATAGAAGATATTTCTTCGTAAAGTTATAATATCAAATGCCATTATGGTATTATTTCAAAGTCTCGCTTGTGAACAACGTACTAGACATACACATTTTTCGAGTATTTTTAAATTATATCGAGATGCTGAGTTGACATCACTGAAGCTTAATATTAATTCATTCAAGTAACGGTGGCGCGAACTTACAATTCTGAAAACTGAGATTAGTACATGATATATTAAAATCGATTTGTGATATACGCTTGCTGTTAAACAAACGTTGTAGCGGTAAATACCAGGGTATTAAAACGAATATTGCAGGTTGTTGCAGTTATATGTACTTTTATACTTTTCAAATAAGCATTTGTAAGTATGTATGCATATAATTAAATATTTGTGAATTTATGAAAATAAATCTATTATTATCTGTATATGCATACGTAAGTAAAAATGTTACAATTTTATATATAGATACTTATATATATGGCATCAGTCATACGATAAGCCGCAAAATTGCAGTATTCATACAAACATATGTAAATATATATTCGTGTAATAGACGAATTATATATGTACCTCGCGCAAAAGCAAAAAAGTTTAAGAGTTGGTGGTCTTTTTTGTAGTTTTGTATCCACAGCTAGCTTCAAACAATAATTAATCAAAGTTGTGCACATACATTTGCAGGCTTCTGCCCATTGAAAAACATCTCCGACCCCATAAAGTTAAAACATATGTATATTACCATCAAAAGCCAAGTGCACCAATCAATCATACGTCTCTGTTTGTTCGTTTATTATACCACTAACCAAACAACATATGTGCATATGTATATGTTCATAGATAGGACCACTAACCAAACAACATACAGACTGGACAATCGTTTCCTGTGCGGCTGGTCCAAAGTAGCCTTCGTTTTTGTTTGGGTTTGAGACACGCTCGCGCGCTCAGACAACAAGAGAGTAAGAAATAAATATACGTACAGTTTGTCAAGTAATTGCTTGCAAAATGAAAAACAGCACCCAAATTCATTTTTAAACTTATATTTTACGGAATTAAACTATTTCTTTTTAATTTTTTTTGCATATAATTATTATTCTAAGTATTCCTTATAGATATAAGGCACAAACATAACAAAATTCAAATGTCGCGCAGTGCGACATTTTTTCCGATAGTCAATAACCTGCCCCGTGTCCAAGCAATCATTATTGAAATGCAAATGAACACAAATTTGACAAGTAGCTTTTTACAAATATACAGTATGTCAATAAAGTGTTTTTACTAACAAAAAAAAACTAATTTTTTGGGTTTAGTTGAAAATAAATGTACCTAAAAGTGAGAATTTTTTTTCAATTCTAATTTATTTCGATTCTATATTTTTCCTAGAACTTAATGGCAAAAAGAATTGTTAAATAACATTACCCAAACATTTTATAAAATTAAAAAACTAAAAACATTCAAATTTTATGCTGTCAATAAAGTGTTTTTACACGAAACTTTATTACTAAATAACAATGTTAAAAAAACAGGAATATTTTTTTTTAATACTTTGTGTGGCTGCCATTAGCGTCACATACAGCCTGCAATCGCCGTTTCATTGAAACAATAAGGTTTTGTATGTATGTTTCTGGAATCTTCTGCCATTCTTCCAGTACAGCAGCTTTTAAATCAGTTTTTGATTTTGGACTCCGCTTTGCGACTTTTTTTTTCAAATATGACCACACATTTTCTATTGGATTCATATCTGGACTTTGTGGTGGAGTGTCTAACACCTTTCCACAGTTGTACAACAGCCAAACTCTTACCATATGAGCTTTATGCTTCGGGTCATTGTCCTGGTAAAATTTAAAAATTGGCTTATTGTCCTCATAGAATCCAAATTTCTGTGCACTACTGACGAGATGTGTCTGTAAAATGCTCAGATATTGTCTAGCATCCATGGTATTCTCAATGAAGGTCAAATCTCCTACACCCTTGCTCGAAATACACCCCCACACCATCACTGATAGTTTTCCGAATTTAACGGTTGGAATAATATTGCGGTTTTCCAACGCTGTTAGTGGCTTTCTCCAGACTCTGGATGGCCCATCGTTGTAGAATAGCATCATCTTGCTTTCGTCACAGAATATGACGTTACTCCAAAAATCGTTCGAACTATTTACATGGACTTGAGCGAACGATAGCCGCTTCAAAATATTCGCCGCCGATAGTAGAGGTTTTTTCCTGGCAACTCGTGATGTGTAGTCATTGGAATTCAGTAATTTTCGGACAGTTTCATGTAACACATCAACACCACTTTCTTCCTTGAACTCCTGAGCAATATCCCTAAGCGAAATTTGTGGATTTTTCTCAATTTTTCTCAGAATTTTTCGCTTATCTCTGTCAGAAATTTTGCAGGGTCGACCACATACTGGCTTTGCCTCTAGCCTATCTTCCTTATTGGCTCTGTTTAATATGTTGTATATCGTTGCTTTTGATAAATTAAACATATCAGCCAGTTCCGAGACTTGACGTCCCATCTGATGGTTATAATACACCAGCTGAGCGACTTCAAAAGTTGTTCTTTTTCCTGGCATTTTATTTTTCATAAAATTAAAGCAAAACGTTATAAATTGCAATAGAAAATGACAAGAAAAGTCGAAGACACAAGAGAAGCCAAAACGCATGGGCCCAAATCTAACGGGATCACCCAAAAGAGAACGGCAAAACAATTTACCGTAGCTGTAAAAACACTTTATTGACAGCATAAAATGTGAATGTTTTTAGTTTTTTAATTTTATAAAATGTTTGGGTAATGTTATTTAACAATTCTTTTTGCCATTAAGTTCTAGGAGAAATATAGAATCGAAATAAATTATAATTGAAAAAAAATTCTCACTTTTAGGTACATTTATTTTCAACTAAACCCAAAAAATTAGTTTTTTTTTGTTAGTAAAAACACTTTATTGACATACTGTATATATACATCAAATATCTTTCATTTTATAACTATTAAACCCTGCCGCATAGACAACATATGTAGCTTTAAATTCAATAAATAAACCAAATGAAACTACCCACCACTGTAAGCGCCTTTTGAACTCAATTGGATTGTAGTGATTATACGGGTATAACATACTAAAGTCTTCTGCTAAAAATGACATCAAGATCGGCTTAAAAACCGATGTTATTTAAGAAAACGTGTTTTGGCTTGCAACGTGCCAGAATTTCTGCATACATGTACACACATACACTCATGTGCATCTATATTGAATTCTATCAACTACTTTGCAAATGCGATTGAATCGTATTCTGCGCTGTGGACATACGATGGTACTTTAATGAGTGTTATTTTTTAGACAAAATTTGCAACTGGTGCGATATTTTTAGGGGTTCGATTCTTAGTGAGGGGGGCATATATTTTTATACCTTGAACCCATTAAAAATGGGTATAAGCAATGACAATATAAACACTAAGATGAGTAACGCCATACAACAAAATGGACATATACACAGACGCACAAGCACTTTCCTGTAGAGTAAGCGGTTCAAAAATACATCATATGTATATCTTACTCCCTTACTCGCGAGTTTGGACCAGTTGCCTCCGATACTTTTTGTTTCAACGTTGTTTCTATGTGATGTCCAGTCTATATGTTGTTTGGTTTTTGTGTACTGAGGTTGGCTCCGTGCAAAATTTGTATTTTTAAGTCGATGCAAATATTTATGTAATTAATTTTATTTTATTTTTATTATTATTTTTTTTTATTATTTTTAAGTATTACAAAAAAAATTAAGGAATTAAAAGTGCAAATTTGTTTTTTTTTTTAAAGATACATTTAATTAATTTTTATTTTTATTATTTTATTATTTTTTGTTCGAATTATAAAGAACAAAGTAGCCGCTCAAATTAGCTACCGATGCAAAATCGGTACCCAGAGAACACCGCGAGGAGGCCATTATAATTGTAATGGGGTCATAACTAAATATGACCTTCGAGTCGACTTAAAATGCTTTAATTTTTTTAATTAAAATATTTCCATATAATATTAACTTAATTTTAAGAAATAATGTAAATTTTTGCATTGACTTAATAATACATATTTTGTACGGAGCCAACCTCAGTACACAAAATGCATTCATATATAAACACAAATTTGGGATAGGCCAGCTAAAGCCAGAGCAGTGAATAACAACACATATATACATATTTTGATGTATTTATGCATGCATAGTTCACGAATACAACAAATGTGCACGCACGCTATTGGCTGAGACAATAACTTCTCTCGAGCATACACTGTCCAAAAAGAAAAGTGAAATCAATCTATGTGTGCTATTTTCTTAACATAGTTATTGCGCAAGAAGCGCCTAGTGTAAAAATTATATAAATTCTTAAATTTTCCTGTAAAATTAATCGTTAATATCTAGGGTAATATATCATTTAAATAAATCATGCATTTCATGGATAAAGCACAAGCACTTTACGTCAATGTACTTCGAAAACGAAGCGACGCAAAGGAGCATCGACCAGATTTGCTGAAGGCAGGCTGACGACTAACTTCGTAGCTCGTGTCAGCATCAGCAAGCCGCGACTGCGGCATTCGTTCGTCTGGTCTTTGGAGATGGAACAACCAGTCGGCAGGCGTGCCGTACGAAGCATCAAAGGCCAGATGAAAGGCCAGGCTAGGCATTCAAATGTATGGGCGTTACTCATCTTAGTGTTTATATTGTCTTTGGTATAAGGGTATATGGTATCTGGGCAAAATCCAAATGTATGTGACAGGCAGAAGGAAGCATCTCCGACCCCATAAAGTATATATATTCTTGATGAGCACCAATAGTCGAGTCGATCTAGCCATGTCCGTCTGTCCGTATGTATGAACCTAAGGATCTCAGAACCTATAAACTAGAGACTTGAAATTTTAGATGTAGGTACTCCTAGTGCCCGCGCAGATCGAGTTTGTTTCCGATGATCGATAACTTATTTCGTTTCCAAGCAATCGATAAAAATCGATATCGATATTCTGTTTTTTGGGCAATTTTGGTAAATAATAAGAGCTAGAGTCACCAAACTTGACATATAGCTTCTAAAATAGAATGTATATATGCATTTGATGTTGTAAGAAGAGGGTTCAGTGTATCCCCTAGTGGGGAGCTCCCGACTAGAACCTCTTACTTGTTAATTACTGCTTTAGTAAGCGAATCGTAGCTCGAGCTCCGTGCAGGAAAAGACAACATATACATTAAGATAATTAACGCCCATACATTTGAATGCGACCGGCTTTCATCGGCTTCATCCGGGTTTTCCCAATTCAAACGATACGATGCTATATTGTCCTAGGCACTGTTAATAAATTTTACAAGGCACTTTAAAAGTAAAATACTTCACAATCACAACAGACATTAACAATTCTTAGAAAATGGCTCATACGTAGATTGTTTGTTTTTACTTTTGGTTTTCGACAGTGTATACTGGATAGAGGTTCTTGTCTTAGCCAATGTCGTTCATGCACCTATGTTTGCATGTGTGAATAATGTAAGCATGAGTACATCAAAATATATATGTGCAGTTATTCACTGATGTGGCTTTTGTTAGTTTTCTAGCGCTGATCCATGCCCAATTAGCAGTCACATATGAATGTATGTTGTTTACTGAGGTTGGCTGGGTAGAAAATCCGCATTTTTAAGTCGATGCAAATATTAATATAATTTCTTTCAATTAACTAATACATTTTATTTCCAAATTATAAACCGGAAAAATGCCCAATACAAATAGAGTATGTGAAGTTGCAAGCTTATTTTTCCAATTTATTTTTTTTGCGCCGCAGCGCACTTATTAGAATTTGTATTATACTATTATTTCATGGCAGCCATCTCGAACTAGTGCCTGGATTGTAATACAACTAAAACCTATAACACGAACGAAGCTTAACTCCAAAAAACGGTCGCCACTCTGAGCGATGGGCAGTTAATGCAGAAGTCAAAGGGCCAACGAAAGAGAGTGGATAGCAGATTACAAAGAGCACGCAATCTATGATTGTCGTTCTTTGCTTTTGGCTATTGCAGGCAGCCGTCGGTGTTGTCTCTATTGGCTACTTGACCAAATATTTTCCCCCTTTTGGGGGGAACAGCCTCGACATGCTCGTTACTCAGGAACCGGCGGCTCAAAACTGCCAGCTCATTCTTGGCACCTACGAAGTGTGTCGCATTGTGAGGTCGTGGGCGACATAGGATGAATCGTTTTAGGGCGTTAAGAAATGCTTTTGAAAACAAGTCCTTCACAACGTCTAAGTCCACCGCCTTTATAGCGAAGTAGCATTTAGCATTTCACTGCTTCAATGTATGGAGACGATCAGCTGATAAATCTGTCATTATATTGTGTCAATCACGGCTTGGCACGAAAACAGATTGTGCATTTGGCAACAACACGAGACTGTTTTGCGAAGGCAATAAAGCACGAAGTTCACCATGTAAGTTCTGTTTATGAAGGTAAACTTTTATTGCTTGCGTCACAGAAGGCTGAAGGGTAAAATAAACAGGTGTCGTGCTTAGAAGTCTAACGAAGAGTTTTTCAACCGATCGCCAATGCGAAGTAGGCCGAAGTCGTCAAGAAATGGCGCAAGAGAGGACATTAAGCCAAACGATCGCTAAGAGTAGCCAATTGAACTGATCACAGCAGCAAATGTGTGCCTTGATACACGTGGTCTTCAGTTAGTTCAGCTTATCGGATTCGATTTACAAATTTGCAAATATAAGCAACCACCCGTTTCAGCTTGGAGAACGAGTTCATGACTCATGCGAACGCCAGGGCAAACGGCAAATCTGGGAGATTCGCCACAAACCATTCATACCATTCGGTAAGGTAGCACCGTATGACATGTTGTAACCGATAAGGCTAAATCGGTAGCCTACCTTTGGCCATTAAAAGATTTTGTTAAACAAATTGTTTTTCAAAATTCTTACGGCTCAATTTATTGTTTATTTTATTATTTTTAAAAGTTACAAACATATTTCCCTCAGAATTGAAGTTGTGGCTTTGGTTTCGTGGCCGATGTGTGCTTGAAGTTGGGGGAATATGTGGTCTGCACTTATAGCCGCGCTCTGCTTGGTTTTTGTTCTTTGTATTTTTGGTTTTATACCGTTTGTATCGTATAAGTTGTTTCTCTCTTTTATTTAACCTAATGCGTGTAGTCACTGATCTCGCTGACACACTTTATGTAGCTCTGTGTGTGTGCTGCTAGCAGTTTTGTCGGGTCAAGGTTATTAAGTGTTCGAAACTGGCTGACTTAACACACTTTTTAAAAATATTTATCTTATTGCTATGAAAAACAAGCGCGTATCTCGATGTGGACTTGGGAATGGTGTAAGCAGATTCGAATTACCCATAATAGAAAACTCACGACTAATAGCCTCTGTCCACTAGTTTAAGAAATGTCACATTTTTAAATTGGTGTTCCACCAGTTGTTGGTAACATGTGAGTGGCAAAAGTACTACATCTTTAAATAAACAGCTGATCGAGTTTCTTTAATTTACATAAGCGCCGTAAAGTTCTTTCAAAAATTGTGCTCTCGAAGTAAGGGCTTTATTTTTTGTGCCATTTTGGAGATTTCGCCATGTTTAAATTCTAAAAACAGTGAGATTAATATAATTTTAAATTTCTTATTTATTTAAAGTTCCCGTTTGCCTTCATTGATATATCAGCTGTTTTTGGTTACGATACTTTCACATTTTGCAAAAACACGAAATGTTCGAAGCGAATTTACACATATTTTTAAAATATGAGATACTTTTGAAAGATGTGTTAAATGTGTTTTCTTATGGGGAAACGCACAGGACGCATTTCACACATTTCGTAAAAATGTGATATCTTCAGAAATGTGTAAGAAATATGTTCAGTGGACAGAGGCTATAAAGCACACTTGTTCGTATATAATCCCCTGCAGTTTCGCCTTTAGGGATTTGAAAATATGACAGAGATGAAGTGATTTTGTGTTACCCAAAAACAAAGTGATCAGATCAAAATAGATCGAATTTAGAAGACTTTTCTTATTGACTGTGTTTTTGGTCAGTGTTACGGTCAGTTGCGAGTTCGAACCCTGTCAAGGGGATTTTTTTTTTAATTTATTTGGTGTTGGAATAAGAGGGTTCTGGGTATTCCCTAGTCGGGAGCTCCCGACTAGAACCTCTAACTTGTTATATATAATATTTTATTTTATTAGTGATCCCTTTTGTTCGGGAGATTGTAATTTAGTATGTGAATTTCTTGTTGTAATCACATAGTCGATGTGTTTTTTTTTCATTATGTGTAATTTCTGTGTGGTCACTCTTATATTTACTATGTGAATAATTTTTTGTAATCACTACGTGATATTTTGTTTTTTCACTATGTAAATTTGTATTGATGTGTACACGGTGTGGCTAGGACTAGCACTTGCTTCCTTTTGCACTACACTTAAAGTGGCAGCCTACTAAGGGGCCTTAAGCCTTTATTGGCTTCAGATAAACGAATTTCTTATATTCTTGTTTGTTTTTTTTTTTAATTTTTTTTTTTTTTTAAGATTTGCGGGTTCCTGCTCGGGCGCCAATTAACCAATTCAATGGAAATCATTTATAAAAAAATGTATTTATTTTGACAGCCTATGTGCTTACAATGAGGCCGAGTTATAAACTAAACTCTGTATCTTAATTAATTTCCAATGAAACTTCAGTCCAACGATGAAGCGTCGCTGTCGGCGTCTCCAGTTTGGTGTTGTTGCATATGTTGAAATGCCCCCATTCTGCATTTCGCTGGGGTTCGCATCCACTGATTTCACAATTATTCGCATGTGCGGAAGATATGCCAATTTAGCGAACCCATCATTGGCTGTCCTATGAGCGCGTTGACCTAATATGCACCTAAAGTTCCATACGTGACACCTTGCTTCAGCTTTTCCCAGCTCATTGAATGGCCACGTGCGGGAACCAAATCGATCTAGCCTTGTCCGTATGTATGAACGCAAGGATCTCAGAACTTCTTAGAGCTAGAGATTTGAAAGCTGTAGGTCCGCCTAATCCATGCGCAGATCGAGTTAGTTTCCGATAATCGATAACTTACTATGTTTCCAAGCAATCAATAAAAATCGTTATCAAAATCCTACTTATTAAATGTTTTGAAGGGTACTTAACTAGGTGTGGTTCATTTGTAGATATTTTCAAGTGTAATATATGTTGATTTTTAATAAGTGGTGAGTGTTGGGACGGGGAATGATTGTATAATTTTGGTCCCTTGTAAGATCCAGAGTGTGTACTCTCTTCAGTCTTCTGTTGTGTTGCTGTTGTCCAGCAGACCAACTGCTTGGTTGTTGTTGTGTAGGTCGAGCCTATGCAGGTATGTGCTGCTGCTTTTGACTATTTCGTCACTGAGACCCATGGGATCTTGAGAATACTGTGTATAGAAGCGTTGTCATGATAGATATGTGCGTTGGAAACGCCTTTGTGGCTCTATCATGCGCTGTCTTTTTCCTGGGGTTTCTTAAATTAAACCAGACACGCCCGTGTCTCCGCCTGTGGGGGCTGCAAAGATGGATTTCCCTGTCTGGAATCCTCGGGCTATAGCTGTCTGGGGGCCGCGTATGCCGCTCCGTTGTGGAAATTTTTTGTTAGCGTATCAACGGTAGTCTCAACGTCAAGACAGCTGTTAAATTTCGGGTTTGGGTTGGTGTTTCTAACCAGCCAAAAGTGATAGTGTGCAGTGTATTTTCTTGAATAGTGTATATATATTAAGTATCTTTTATTTTATATCTATCGCTACCTCCCCGCCACTACCTCTTAGCTATAAATCAAGTTAACCCAAATTGTATTGTCCACCAATTTCAGCTACAATTTAAATGCAATTTACACACATATATACATACATGCGTGTCAGCTTCAATTGCGATTATATTGTTTGATCTGATTGGTAAGGCTGTTGAGTCTGTCGCTAGTTCGAGCCCTACCAAGGAAACTTTTTTTTTTTTGGCTTGTGTGGCTGTAAAGTCAGTTGCGATTTCGAACCCTTCCATGGGAACTTTTTTTAAAATTTGTCTTTATTACTACGAACGAGCGCGTAGCATGAGCTTAATTTGGTGTTGGAAGAAGAGGGTTCATGGTATTTCCTATTCGGGAACTCCCGATTATAACCTCTTATTTGCAATATTAAGATTTAGTTATTTACGCCTATTTTGTAGTGGTTTTTAAATATAATTAGGGTATGATGATAATTCCATGTATAGCTCATTGGATAAAGTAAATAACTTCTAAAGGCGTAACCAATATTAGGGACCACATTTATATATTGATAGCTACCCAACTTGATCAAAAATACCTTTATTTTTTAAAGATCATGCCTGGACGTGGCAATTTGTTGTCCTTATTTCATAAAGAAACGGAGACATCGGAAGTTTCTTCATCTAGTGGAGAGCATGCCAAGGATAGTGGCTTAGATGCTGACCAGTCTGTTTCAAGTGGAGAATACCGACGCATTGCCAGGGATGATATTGCAAGTGAGCTTGCATCAACTATTCAAAATGTCAGCATTTCAATTGGACGTGGACGTGCAAATTTTCTGCAATCCTTTCAAAATGAATCCCAACAATTAAAGAACGAAAAAGAAACATCGACTTTTTCAAAACTCTTAGATGATTCTCCTGGACAAAAAAAAGCAAAAAATTCAGCATTTACTTATGGTAGATCTGAAATCAAAATAAACAATTCTATGGATGGTTTGTTTTGTCCTAGCACTATTTACGGCACTAAAGGTAAGGGCAATATCATTCGATAACACTTTGCAACGGTACTGTTCTGGCAAAAAAATGTATGAGCAGGGTCAGAGACGATGAAGGATTTGCTAAAATATTATATATATAATCGATTGTAGGTACCAGTCCTATTGGTGTCAGTTTAAAGAATGATTTTTATTAAGTTCAAAAGAGCTTATTGTAGCCTACAATTGTAACATAGTATAAAGATGTTTAAACTAACATAGTCTGTGAGGAAGACTATATATTGTTAAAGTATTATTGCGCGTGCGGCTATGTACTTATTGTGCATAGCGCTCTTAGATATTCGCCCATGGGTGACATATATATAAAGTATAGATGTTACAAATTTTTTTATTGTGTTTTTAATTTAAAAATAATAATATTTTTTGTCTTATTAATTTGTGTGTATTTATGTATAAATGTGTTTTTATCTTTTGTTAAATTATTTAATATTAGCGCTCATCTTGTTTTTTTTTTTAATGTGTTGCGTAAACTTTTAAAATTCTTGCAATTGTTTTTTTTTACCCTGGTAAAAGGAGCAAATGTGTGTAACAGGCAGACCCCATGAAGCATATATATATCCTTGATCAGTATCAATAGCCCGGTTGATCTAGCCATGTCCGTCTGTCTGTCCGTCCGTTTTGTTTCCGAGTTTGTTTCCGATATTCGATAACTTGACCCGTTTTCAAGTTATGAATAAAACCCGATATTTAAATACTGTTTTTAAAAAAATTGTCGTAAAAAATACGAGCTAGTCACCAAACTTGATTGTAAAATTTTATATTAATATGTATCTTTCATTTAAAAGCTATCACCAGCTCTCCGCGTCTCTCCGGCCATTCAATGCATCGGCACCTTGCCTTAACTGTTCTTATTACTAATAAAATGCTTATATGTTATACAATGTTTATACTCTATAATTATAATTATGAACTGTGGGGTGGCTACCTTTGTGGCTGTCTCACATTGTATTTGTACGAAAAAAATATTTTAGTGAGATCAGGAACATGAATGTTAGATTTAGTTAATTTTCTGGCTCAAAGGACATTCAATGGTTTTTCAAGATATCTTGTATAACTCGAACATTGTTATTCTTGTTGTGGCCGTTTTGGTTGTTATATCCGGAGTCTATTGAAAGGGTGGAATAGGTTTGTGCAAACGTAAGTAACAGGCATAAGGAAGCATCTCCGATTCCTTAAAGTGTATAGATTCTTGGTCAGCATCAATAGTCGAGTCGATCTCAAATCCTGAGCCAGAGATTTGAAATTATTTTCAAAGCCTTACGTACGAACTTTATGAGTTCGAGTCCAACGATTCCGATATTTTGCGACTTTTTTGCTAAACATCGGATTGGCTTCACATCCATTCTCGAAGATCTTTGTGGAAATTTAATTGATATGTTATTCCCTAAATTCACCAAAATCCAGGCGAATTTATGAGTAACCATTTGTTGTTTGGTTCCAAGAATCTCACCAAACCAATTTAGCGCTCTCACGCTAAAAATAGAATGTACCTCTCAGCTTGGGATCTATATAAGGCCATGCAATTATTTTGTATCAGCACTGGCTTTTGCTGCGAAAAAAATAATTTTGGTAGTTTTCTATGCTTACCATGATCTATCTTAAATTTGTATTTGCACATGTATGTGACATACACTGTCGAAAACAAAATGGTCTATTTACGTGTACTATTTTCTGGTACTATTTTCTGAACATAGTTAGATTTGCCTGTAAAACTTATCGGTAGTATTTAGGGTAATGTATCGTTCATATAAAGTTTTCATATCACAGATTAAGCAGCTCAGTGTGACGTCGCTTTCGGGGAACAATTCCTGGTGTGTTATGGAATGAAAACAATCGGAGTAGGATCCTTTCTTATACTCATTGAAATCTAGGGGTGGTTGCTTGTACGACGTTGAAGGGCAAATGTAAACTACTCAGCGATTGCCTGTATACTTGTTTAGAGTGCACTTGCGGTGTTCGGAGCAGCAGCCCAATATGATGTTTAGTAGAATTATTTGCACAATCACAACTGGACAAATGGCAAAAGTCAGGGTGAAATATGCGTTACTAATACACGCGTCTTCGATTGTGAGCTTATCTAAAATTATGACTTAACAAACATTAAGTAAACTTTTGAGCTATGCAATAAAAACAACTTCCAACGCCTTTCTTATTGATTGCCTTGACCAACGGCGCCTCTGTAATTTTGATGTTCTATAAATCGTTTGCGTTTTCCTTGCCGGCCATCACCTTTAAGACTGTGTCCTAGAACGTGTCAGATGTCTAATTCCACTAACTTGCCAAAAAATGCTTGTGAGTTGCGTGGACACTTCATCAGCCATTCGTTATCAGTATCTCGCTGACAAGGCTTACAGTATGTCATAAGTATTTATTCCAGAGTGCGTCATATTCTATAATTATTGGATAGTCCAAGTGAGAGTAGTTCGTCAAAGTCACAGAAAAACCTTGAATTATAAATTCCCAACCCCACAATTATTTAAAAATAGGGCCCTAAGGATCTTTCTCATTGTCACATTACACCCGCTAGGCAGGGAAAAAGTTCATCGGTACCATGGGTAGAGCCTTCACGGTCAATGGTACACGAAGCTGTGGGTTGCCTTATGGCGAATTTATAGAATTTGTAAACGCATGTCGAAAAAATTCCTTGTCAGTCGAAAAACGTCAATGTGTAACATTTTTCCCACGGACGAAGAGTTTGGCGTTTGGCGAGGTCCTTGCTTCATTCGCGATAGATGTCACTGTCGGAAAAAATGTTAATAGTAACCTATTAAAAATTTTCCTGCAGAGCTTTACAACCGCGGTTATACTCAGCTGTCATGACCTCCTTTCTCTGGTTGCTAGCAAAGATCTCGGCAGCAATGCTTTTATAACACCAAAACAACAATTAATTTTCTTTTCAATGGGAAGCTCGTTTTCTCTAAGACAATCTGATTCGTTAAGCAATTCGCAGGCTTATCTGTCGTCAATGTCAACAAGTCAGCAGGAACATACAGCAAGGTGTATTGTAACCGCGACAAGGCATCCGCAGTTTTTTTGTCATTGCCTGGAATGTAGAAACCGCTTGTTTCTTTAGTTGCGTAGTTAATTCCCTTGTTTTTCAACCTTCTGGAAATCGTTGGTACTGCTCGTCCATTTGGGGAAAGTACTTTCCCAATTCCTTGATCCGACGCATAAGAAGGTCAAAGTGTTTCTTGTAATTAACGTACATTAGCATTACCTCTTCCGACGCTAAAATTTCTATGCGTCTTGCGAACATATTGCGTTTAACCCCAATCAAATGGATGGGAATTCTTGACATTGCCGTTCAGGAGGTGTGCTTGAAGTAGTCCACAACCGTTTCTTGAAAGTACGAAGACATCATCGACTTAGACAAACAATGTCTTATCGATTTTTTTATCGAAGAACGTCGTTTAAGGCTATTTTAAAGGGGCTATCGGATTTTACAAATCTGAAGAAAAGCCGACAAAATTCGTACTTTGCCACACTTAAGGAGAATGATGTTTTCTCTTGATACCGGTTTGTCAGGTGTATATGGGATTCAGGTCTAAGGATATGACTACTACTGCCAAGATCAATGTAATGCTATGCATCATGGGGTATTTGTCAGCCGCCTGGTTGAGCTATCCCTCGACGAACTATCTGAAATGTACTATCTGCGTATTATTACCCGCAGCATCGATGTCCTTCTAGGCAACAACCTAAATTGGATTTTTTAAGGTAAATGGTGCTTTCTAAAAAATGCCCTTCAGGAAGGTTTCTACTTCAGTGGGAATTCATATGTTGTACTTAGGTGGGTAAATTTCGTTGATGACGGTTGACCTTAAAAAGTCGTTTTAAGGTAGTTCGTCAATTCTGTTTTGTTTAATCAGGCTGTGTTATCTTATGATTATGGAACGTTAGGAAGTAGAAACAAAATTTATAATCTATGGTTTGCCCCTGTTTAAAAAAATATTAGATTTTTAAAAGCATTGATAGGGAATATATATACTGCTGACCTTTCGGCGCCATCTTGTGTTGATGGCATTAAGTTCAGTTGGCTAACCCTTTGTAACGCATTTGTCATGACGTTGCCGGTTCCTGGTCGCTATAGCACTTCGTGTTTGTAATTCTCAACAAGTACAACTACAAGAGAATGTTTTATGGGTGGATGATCGGTACAAATGTATACTTTTGCTTTTAATGCCCAAACCGGCTGCGTAATTTTTTTTTAGTTTTCGAGAGCGATTTGTAAAGAAATATCATTTATTGGTCGTTCGTTATAGAAAAGTACCATGTAAGTTAAGTACTTCTTTGTACTCTATAGCTTCTTCTTTGTCTTTTATAGCTTCTTTGTGGAAATTATCAAGTCTTCAAAGAGAGTTAAGTGGTGGCTTTGTAATTTTAGCGACATTTTTAATATACCGTCTATAGTAGCCGTTGGGCCTTGCAACGCTTACAGATTTTACAGGGTTTTAAGAAGATTATAGTTAGCAATTGCTAACACTTTCTTTGGACTCGTTACCTCGCTTTTTTCGGAAATAATAAAACCTAGGAGTTCATTCACCGGTCTCTGAAAAACTTACATTTCATATTGATCTTATGTAAGGACTCGAAAATTGTTAAATATGCAATTTATTGTCTATATTGAAAATGTTCTTCAGATCGTGAAAATTCATATTAGCCGTTATTAGTAGCTCTTTTATCTATTAACTTACCTCGATCTTTAGGGAAATGGGGTACTAGTAGAATTTAGGGTGACCTGGTCAATCATTCGTAGTTTTACTTTCTGCTTTCATTTTATAGAGTAGAGTTTTTAATTAGTCTGCCCAAGATGTGTCTATGTTAAACAGTCCGTTTTAGAGATTGGTTTCGCATTTATTTCATTTATGAATGGAATATATATATTTATGATCCCTTTTTTTTATTTTCATTTTTGTTTCTATTTTTTCCCAAAATAGCATCGTACGCTAAAAGGTTAGCAATATTTCTGATTGA